AAACTTCTTTCATGGCCAACTGGTTTAGTTCAGTATAACACTACTGCAGACTGGGTGGCTTGTAAACAACCTAAACGTATTTTTGGGGGGTTCTGGGGGCTGGAAGTCCAAGCCCGGGGGGCCCAGTGTGGCCAGGGCCTGGTGAGAGGCCTCTTCTGGGCTGCAGATGGCCGGCTTTTTGTTGCGTCCTCTTGCAGTGAGGAGCAGAGGGGAAGCACCTTCTCTGGTGACTCTCAGAAGGCCGCCCATCCTGTCCTCAAGGGCGTCAGCCTCATGACCTTGTCTCGCCTGTGCAGTCACATTGGGGTGTAGGGGTCAACCAATGAGCTTTGGGGAGGACACAGACACTTAGTCCATGACATTCTGCCGCTGCACCCCCCACCCACCCACCCACCCAAATTCGTGCAAAACACACTCATTCCATCTCCAGATGCCTAAATGTCTTAACTCATTCCAGCATCACCTCCACAGTCTATAGCCCGAATCACATCTAAATACCACCCAAATCAGGTACAGGTGGGACTCACAGCGGGGCTCATCCTGAGGCGCTTGTGACCCCGTGAGCTCGCACAAGTCACATGCTTCCACGTGCACGGGCGAGCAGGTGCAGGACAGACCGCATTCTAAAAGGGCGAAGTGGGGGTGATGGGTCCCAAGGAGGTCTGAAGACCTAGCAAGGAAATTCCATGAGCTCTTCGGGCTCCTGAATCATCTGCTTTGGCTCCAGGCTCTGCTCTGCAGGCCACTGTGGGGGAGGGGGGCAGGACCCCCCCTTCCTGAGTCACTTGGGGGGGGGTGCTTCCCTGCTGCTCCAAGGCAGCTGTCAGCCCCCAGGGCTCTGCCCGGAAGCCCCTTCTCCACAGTTCTGGGTAGCACTGTCAGAATGGCTCTGGGCGGTGGCTGTCTGGCCTCTTGGAAGCAATGGTCCCTTCTTCTGAAACCAAGGAAGCAGCCCTACGCTGTCCAAATCACCTTAGGAATCATTTCTTCCCTTGTGTTGAATATAGCACACGGTCTTGGCCAGGTATCCATATGGTGTCATCCTGCAAAATCCACGAGGTCCTCCATCCCTTCCCCGATCCTTTCCTCCATCCCTTCCTCCATCCTTTCCTCCATCCCTTCCCCAATCCCTTCCCCCATCCCTTCCTGCCGCCTCCTTTGGTGCAGATCGAAAGTTTTCCTCTTGGGGTGGCTGGCTGGTCTGCAGTTCACACCTGTGGTCATTTCAGTGTCCCAAGTGGTCGCTTTTGCAGTATGGATAGGTTGTGAATTCTCCAAATTGTTAAATTCTGCTTCCTTTTTGCTTAACAATCCTGTCTTTTAAGTCATTCCTTTCTGAGCTCTCAGAATTTTCCTATAAGCAATCAGCAGGAGCCAAGCCATGCCTTCCACTTTTTAATGCTTTAGTTAAATAAGCAGCTTCGTTGCTTACAAGCTCTGCTCTCCCGAAAACACTGGAACATGGGGTCTGTGCCACTTTGCTACCAGAAGCACCTTCCTCCAGTTTCTGGGAACACGTTCCCCATTTCCTCCTGTGACCTTACCATAATGGCCGTGACCGTCCATGCCACTCAGGGGCCCTCGGAGAAGACGGAGGCTCTTCCGTGGCAGCGAGCCTGTCTCCCGTTAAAGTATGGCTTCTCAGACTCTTCCCGTCTCCACCCATGACCCAGTTCCAAAGCCACGCCCCACCCAACTCGCTGGATTAGTCAGGGTTCTCCGGAGAAACAAACGAGGTTCATCCACACACGACTTATTGGACTTTACCACATACAAATCATAGCCATGAATAAAGAAAGACTGATATGGAGATTTACTGTGAGGAGTCATGGAGGCGGGGCCGTGACGTGACATGCCGTCTGCAAGCAGGACACCCAGTAAGACCAGTGGAAGGAACCCTTCAGTGTCAGGTCAGAGGCCTGGGAACCAGGGAAGCCAACAGTGTAAACCACAGGCCGAAAGCTGGAGATGGGGAGGTGTCCCAGCTCAGTGGAAAAAGGGGCGAGTTCCTCCTTCCTCCGCCCTCAGCCCCTCTGTTCAGGCCCTCGGCCACGGCGATGAGGACCTGCCCAGGGTGGAGGGCAGGCTGCGGGACTGAGCACACCCGTGCAAACGCTGATCTCTTGGAAAATAATGTTTCCTGTGGGCACGCCAGTGGCCATGGCCGGTCAAGTCCAAACCAAATGACCTTTTTTTGAGGAGAGGGTCCGGACTGCATTTCAAGTTTTCTAGGGTTCCAGCAAGAGAATATTCTAGGGCAAGTCTTTGGCCTTTCGTGTGACCCGGTCTTCAGAAATGGGACTTCACCAAGTTGACAAAAGCTGTGGTGGGCGAGTGAGTACCTTCTCAGGCCAGGCCGCCTCATCGGGGGGGATCCCCTCCCTCATCTGCAGACTGCACTGCGGTGGTGAGCGAAGAAGTGGTGGTAAGCCCCGGCTGGTGTGGCTCAGTGGATTGAGCACGGGCCTGTGAAGCAAAGAGTCGCTGGTTGATTCCCAGTCAGGGCACATGCCTGGGTTGCAGGCCAGGTCCCCAGTGGGGATCACATGAGAGGCAACCACACAATGACGTTTCTCTCCCAGGCTTTCTCCTTCCCTTCCCCTCCCCTCTCTTTAAAAAAAAAAAAAAAGCAGTGGTAAAATGCAAAGTTCTTGGGGCTTTGGACCTTGGTAGAGTCCCAGCTGTCCCTCAGAGGGGCTGCCCAGGGACTGTCACTTGCTTTGCATAGTCCTGACCAGGATACGCCGCCCTGACAGCAGCCAGGCAGGGGAAGGAGCTGCCTTACTAGCCTTCTCCGAGGGGAAACTTGAACCGTGTCGGTTTTCTTTGTCCACTGTCATCAGACTAGGCAACCGTTTCTCCATGGGGGGCTCTGGCAGCTGCCAAGGCCAAATTCTATGGAAACACCACTCAGGACAGAGATTATCCAGAGAAGCCAGATCTCTAGAGATAGAAAGCAGATTAGCAGTTGCCTGGTGCTGAGGCCGGGAAAAGGGACTGACTGAGAATGAAGTCTAGACGTTTTGGGGGGTTGAAAGGAAATATTCCAGATTTTGGTGGTGGTCATGGTTGCACAATTCTAACTTTACTAAAGAAAAGTCCATAATTGAAATGAGTGCCTTTTCGCCTAAAGCTGTTACACACACACATGCGCCCTGCAAATCCCAGAATGGCACACAGATAGTTTCGAAGACTATAATAAATGTCAATTCTTTTATTATAAATAGCAACATGAAAAGGTTGAGTAATAAAAATTTTATTGAAATTAGCCTGTCTTTGGATGCATCAGATCACTCTTAAGACAAACTGCAGATTTGTTGGAGAAAGTAAATACATTTTTGTGTATGTTAAATTCCCCACTGTTTTACTTATTTATTGATTTTAGAGAAAGCGGAAGGGGGAAGAGAAAGAGAAACATTGATTTATTGTTCCACTTATTTATGCATTCATGGGTGTGTCCTGACTGAGGATCGAACCCACCACCTTGGTGCTTTGGGGGTGACACTCTAACCAATTGAGCTACCTGGCCAGTGCTTCCCTACTATTTTACTTTAGACCAGATGATTTTTGAGTAAACTTCTGCAAGAGACACTTTATGATTCTAAATTATGTACACATTTACCACTCAATTAACACCATCTCATGATCTTGTCCACAAAGTATCTTCCTGCCCCAGGGCCTTTGAACTTGCCACCCCCTTGTCCTGTAGCATGATCCCCGGGACAGCCACGGCCTGCTGCCTCCCTTAGGTCCCTGCTCAAACCTCACTTCCTCAGAGCAGCCCTTCCTGGTCAGCCCATCTAAAACCAGCACAGTCTCTATCCCTTTCCCCTACTTTCTTTTTCTTCATTACATGTAACCACTGCCTGACCTTATGCGTCGGCCTTGCCACCAGAATGTTCATGAGGCAGGGACTTCATGTACTGTTCACTGCTGTATCTTCAGATTCAGGTACATCATAATTGCTCAAGACATTTGTTGAATTAGCTGAGTAAATTGCAATTTAAGTATTTACCTCTTTTGCCTCTCTAACCAGACAGCAAATTCATGGAAGGCAGCCAGAGGCCCTGATTGCTCATTTAGCTTCTCTAAAGCAACTCTGCACGGATGTCAGACATTCAACCCAGACTTACTGAATGAATGAACACCTAGAACGTGTGTTACCAGGCTAACCAGCCAGCACTCCCTGCAGGTGGACAAGAACAGCAATGCCTTACCCATCAGCCCACACTGCAGGAAGTACTTCTGTGTATATTAATGCCTTTGCCAATATCCTGCCCGTATCGTAGTCTTCGAGGTCTGCCTGAAGCAATGAGCGCTCAATACCACAAATGTTTGTTTCTGGAATGTAGTTTATCACATGAATACTTTTTGGGTGAGTCTTAGATATTACTGGCATTTAATGTGTTTTTGGACATCTGAAAAAAATATTTGAAAAGACTGAATCCCGTTTAAAATAAACAGATAAGTAAAAATATTTTAAAAAGACGGTCTTGACATATATGCCACGTGTGGAGAGATTTCTGGATGACTGTTTAACCAGAAGTCTTCATAGTGGTTACTTCTAGATGGTGGAAATGTAATGATATTTATTTTGTTTACTTTCCATTCTTCTCTTTTGAATTTTTAAAACAAATTCCAAATCATCGAAAGAAACCTGTTTCTGATTGAGGGCGGGAGGTGGGAGTGGGTGGGAAAGGGGAGACAATTGTATTCAAACAATAATAAAAAAAAAGAAAACTATTTCTATGCCGTGCTTTATTTTTGCTTATTTTGTCAGGGTGAATAGCATACAAATTACTACTCCTCCTTTCCTGGTTGTGCGATTCTCAGTATGCAGCAAATCTCAGGAATTTTTAACACTGTAGGTAGCAAAGCAGCAACAAATACAAGGAACCAGAAGCCTACAGGGTTTTTTGTTAGGTTTTTCCATATTTACAGCCACGCCATTACCTCAGCAAGAAAATAGGTAGAGCAATGCTTCGCTGAAAGTTTTTCATCATTTGCCAAAAAAACTTTCCAGGATATCGAACTCCCAAAACAGAAGGCTGAAGTCTGGCCCGGGGACTTTGGACCAACTTTAGAGGCACACAGGACATGTGTTCATTCTCCTTTTTTCTCCTGATGACTTGAAATACTGAAAATTACCTTTCCCTTGTCTTTTTAACCACAGGAATTGGGAAGTCAGGCAAATGACCACCTCGTGGAAAAACCTCTGCTGATGCCAACAATGTATGGTCCTCTTTTTAGTCTGTTGATTCTGCACTAAGGGCTTTCAAGGGTGTTAGTGCACCTTTGGGGCGAACGAGGTTTCTTTACACACCCAACAGTGCGTGTCTATCTCCACGCCTGTGCATCCCTGAGTGTTCTGTGTGTGTGGCTGTGTAAAGTGGGTTTTGAGCCCATGTCTTACACGTTCAACGGAGATGCGCGTGCAGCCATGCAGGTGAGCGCAGGTTCCCCCGGTCTCGGTCTCGGGGTGCGCGCGGTGGGGTAGGGGGAGGGGGAGGAATCATTCGCCAAAGCTGGCGGCTCTCCACCGGCCTGGATGCTGCTGGGAGGGCACAGGGCGCAGCGCGGTGGCCGGGCTGCGGGGGCACCTGCGCAGCCAGCTTCCGGGCAGGGTCCACGGCACGTGCTCGGGGTTCTGGAGGCGTCTTCTCGCTTCTGGAGGTGTGCCTAGAGCGGAGACGTAGGGAGGGGTCGGGACCCCGGAGGACGTCCGGAAGACCGGCGGGTGGGGGGAGGGCGCCGTGGGCGGGGCGGTGCCTCCCACCATCCAGTCCCCACCGAGCTGACGGCCACTTCCGTCCGGCCTCAGTCTCAGGGACGCGGAAACCGAGATCGCCAGCGGCGTGCGCGTGGGGGCCACCTGGACGCCCAGGTACGTGCGGCTTGGTCCCCAGCTGGCGCCAGGACGGTTGGGCTCGGCGGTTGCGGACCCCACCGAGCTGAGCCTCGGCCTCTGTGACGCACGGAGCGGCCTCCGAGGCTGACCGGGTGGCGCTGCACGGCAGGGGCGGGGTGGGGGCGGGGCGGCGCGAGCCGGGCGGAGCCGGGTGAGGCCCCGCCCCCGGGCCAGAGCCGCGAGGACGCTACCGAGCAGGCGCGTCTTGCCGCCGCTGCCGCCGCCACTGCCGCCGCCGTAGCTCACCCTTCTCCGGAGCCGCTGCCGCGGCCGCCATTTGCACGGGGACCGGGTGACAGAGGCTCAGCGGTGGGGCGGAGGGAGGGGGAGGGCCGCGGAGCCCCCTAGGGCGGGAGCGACGCCGCTGGCGCCGGTCGGACTCCCTGTGAGACCGCGCCGCCCGAGGCGGGCCCCGACCAGCAGCAGCAGTAGCAGCGGCGGCAGCCGAGGCCGGGCGTGCGCCTGAGGCGCGGCGGCGGCCCTGCGGGCAGCGGGAGGGCGGGGGCAGCGGCCGCCGTTTGATGGATCCGAGGATCGCCTGGTTCCAGCCAGAGCAGCTCGGACCGTCCAACAGTCTGTGGATGCAGATCTGGGAGACGACCCAGGGGCTGAGGAACCTGTACTTCAACCACCACTGTCACAGCAGCGGCGGCGCGAGCAGCGGGAGCGGCGGCGGCGGGAGCGGCGGCAGCCCCGGCAGCCCGGGCAGCTCCGGCGGCGCGACCCCAGCCGTCATGTACCGCTCCGGGGAGCGCCTGCTGGGCGGCCACGCGCAGCCCGCAGAGCAGCGGGACTTCCTGCCCCTGGAGACGACCAACAACAACAACAACCACCACCAGCCCGTGGCCTGGGCCCGCCGCGGGGCCGCGGGCCCCTCGGCGTCCCCGTCCCCTTCGGCGTCCCCGTCCCCGCACCCCGTGGCCGCCGTGCCCTCTTCGGAGCCCGCCGACCCGGCCTCGGGCAGCAGCAACAAGAGGAAGCGCGACAACAAGGCCAGCACCTACGGACTCAACTACAGCCTGCTGCAGCCCGGAGGAGCGCGGGCCACTGGGGGCCGCGACGGTGGCGGGGGCGCATACAGCGGGACCCCCTGGAAGCGGAGGAACTACAACCAGGGCGTCGTGGGGTGAGTGGGGACCCTGCGGCCTGGTGCCTTGGCCTTTGCACACGCGCAGCGGGGCACATGCCCACAGAAAGGGGTTGGGGGGAGCCGGGCGAGGCCACCCCACCCCCTTCGTTGCTGCTTCTGGGGGGGGCTGACGGACATCCCTGTCTGTCCACCATCCTCACCTCCCTTTGACCCTCCTTAGCGGTCCACACCCTCCCTCGCCTCCCTTAGTCATCTACACTCTTCCTCTCCACCCCTTCATCTTTTCCCACCCCCTTACCCATTCATTTTTTCCTCTAGTCTTCCCCCTCTCCACCACTCGAACACACCTTCCTGGCTGCTTCCTCCGTCCCTCCCCACCTGGCTTCTGTCCTCACACCCCAAGATGAGGTTACTTAGCACGGACAAATCATTAATTCCCCCAGAATATTCCTGTGTTAGTGCTATTCGATGGAACAGGACCTGGAGGTGCTTGGCTTGCCAAGAATAGAAACATCCAGAAAGCTCCTCCCCCTCCTCTTCCCCCTCCCCCTCCCCCCAATCCCAAACAGGACTCGTCAGCTCAGTGAGGCTTTGTGCTATCGACCCTTTGGTCCATCTTTTCTGTGTTCTGAAAAGCGTGTTGCATTAGCGATGCCGTATTCCGTGGAGAGGGAGGGATGGGTGACAGCTAAGTTGAGGCTGGTGGAGTGGTGAGCTCTTCTCCTGAGGCCACTAGAACTTTCTAGGAGTTCACTGTCTCGGGCCCAGCCTCTGATGGCAAAGTTGTCACCAGCAGCGGCAGCCAGCCGGGGCGTTCATCCTGGGGGTGACTGTGTGCTGCTTGGGTGAGGGTTGCACCACCAAAGAGTGTGTTTAAAGTTCAGCCGTTACAAAATGCGATCTTACCTGACCCCTAGTGAGTTATGTCCAGAAGCAGCTCGACTTTTTCTCTGGGACAGCCCCTGTAGTTGGGTAGGTCACCAGGAGTGTGTGTGTGTGTGTGTGTGCGCGCGCGCGCCCGCGCGCTTACACACCCGCCTTGAGTATGGGGAATGAGCTTTCACATTGCTTCTCAATTTCCAGATCCTGGTTTACCTTGGGGCTCCGGCAGGCAGATGAAATCACTGTTCGTAATCCCGGGTGAAACCTTCTCCTAGGCAGGCTCACCCGTGCCACTCTGCCCTGCCTTGGCAAGACAGTGGCGCAGGTCTGGGGGAAATGAGTTGGTGGGTTCCATCTGCTTCTAGTGGGCTGGTGTCTGCCCCATGCGCCTGTTACAGCTGACCCCTTTCAGTGGAGCGTTGTAGGCCTGGTACCAGGGAGCCCGTCAGACCCGCCCCTACGCCCCGAGGGGAGCCTGGAGGGGTTGAGCCTTCCAGGGCGCTCTCCATGGTCACCACATTTTCATAAAAGGCTCCTGGGCCCTTCCTGTTGGTATTTCCAAGGTGGAGTGGGAACCGGTGGCCTGGTGGCAGACAAGTGGATGTGGAGGGGTTCTGCTGGTGTCTTTTCCCAGGGTAAGAAAACTCCAGAGAAGTGGTCACTGTCAGCTGAAACCTCGCAGTTCCCTGGTTGCCTTTTACGGAAGCCTCTGTCTGTCTAGCAGAGATGCTTTATCGAGTCCAAAATGCTGGCTGCCTCTTTCTGAGAATTAGGAATCGCCCTCTCCTTTACTATTTGCTCTTTATTGCTGAGGGTTCTGCAGAAGGGTCACGCTTGAACTTAGGTAGAAGCAATTTGGTCTTGTTCCTGATTCAAATATTATATTGCCCTCAGAGGGATTAAAGGGAGGAATTTCTGTTTCCCAGAGGGATTACTGTTTGAAAACTGCTGACCACTTTCTCGGACTTGCCACTCTGGGGCCACCTCCTTTGTAAGATGTCAGCAGGTCACACTTTTCTTACTTCGTCAAGTGTTTCCTAAGCGTTTTCGTAAGAGTGTCTGGGTGGTTAAAACTTTAGACTTTGGGTCCCTATTTCTTGAGTTTGCGGAAGTTTTGCTATTTTCAACGCAGATATTTAAAAAATCCGAGTTCAGAGCGCTATCTGACGCTATTCTGAGATTAAATATAGTAAAACAGTTACCAGCACTCTGCGTTCTCGGCATGTGACCGACATTTAGCTAATAGGTCGACCGGTCTGGGCAGTCCCTGGCTGCAGTCGGGCAGTGGAGGAGAAAGCACGCACACAGTGGACCAGAACCATGCGGACAGCTGCGTCCACTCTCTCATGTCTGGGTCTCTCCGTGCGTCTGTGCCTTGGCCAGACTGGTGACTGGCTGCCTGAACACTCGGGGTACAGTTCAAACTCCTGGCTTCTCTGTCGCCCGGGTTCTGGGTTTTTTTGTTCCTCCTCTGAACTCCTGAAGTGTTTACTCCGTGCCGTGTGGCTTGCTGATCTTTACTTTTCCTTTGAGGTGTGTGTTTCTTCTTAGCCACTAGGTCGCTAGCGAAGAGGGACATTTCTTAAATGTAGATTAAGGTACTTGGATTTCTTCATCCCGAAGTCTTCATAGCCCTCTTGCAAAGCTGAGCTCCCCTGGTTGCCTTCCCAGCCTCCTCCCTGTTCCTCAGGTCCCGGAGCGCTCTTTCACTTTCCTTTTCCTCTTTCTGAGGTCACTTTCACTTACTCTGCTTCTTGGGGTTCATTTCCCTCTGAGGCTTATAGTCCCATCTGGTTGTCCCTGAGAACGAGCCCTAAGCGTCGAAGATTTCATTGTTGACCACCCTGGAGGAGGAGAAGGTGAATGCAAGTACAAGCCCAGGAACCGTAGGGAGATGCAGAGCCCCCGGTCCGAGCCCCCGTGTCCGGAAACTACGTGTGAGAGCTGTTGGCGCTCGTCCAGGCTCATTAGGAGAGGTCTGGCTTGGCCGCGCTGCCGGGCGTGGGGGGGTTTTCTCAGGGCGTGGACGGCTATTTAAAGTCGTGTTTCCGAGGACACATTTGATTGGGGGGCACCAAGAAGACCCCCTTGGGAAACCTCAGTTTAAGGAATAATCTGCTTTTACAAAAAAAATAATAAAAACATTTATTTATCCATTTATTTATTTATTTATTTATAGAGGAAGGGAAAGAGGAAAATGTGGATTTGTTGCTCCACTGTTCATGCATTCATTGGTTGGTTCTTATATGTGCCCTGACTGGGGATTGAACCTGCAACCTTGGTGTATTGGGATGATGTTTCAACCAACTTAGCTACCTGGCCAGGGCTGCAATAATCTCTTGAAGGGGGTGACGGGTTGGGAACAGAAAAAAACGAATGTGAGTGCCTGAAGGTGAGGATGGAGAGGACCCAGAACCCCTGCGTGGATCTCAGAATCACCTCCAGCCTTGACCTCGAGTGACTGGGACAGTGTTGGTGTCACCACTGAAAAAATGAGAGGGTGATGTTGAGGTGCAGCTGTCCAGCAGGGAGTTGAAATTTGTGGGGTGAGGTGCAGTTGCTCTTTCTGCTGTGGGGCTGTGTATTTCCTTGTGTCCCTGGTCCCCCTGTCACGGAGCCCAAGGTGCTGGCGCTCTTCCTCAGCATTATGGCCCCTTTCCACTTATTCCCACAGAGCAGGATCAGCGAGGCTGGTGCTTGTGCTGAGCACCACACAAGGTGGTAGATCAGGAAGTGTAACCTAGGTTGAGCACACAGGAATTTGGAGGCCTGGGGCACGTGCTTGCCGTGCGTATGTTTCTGTGTGTTTGCAAATGTAGCCCACAGTCATTCTTCCGTGAACTAGAACCTCCAGGCTATTTCTTTTCGCCACACTGGGTACTGAAACGTGCTTTCAAGAGGACATTCCGTTTTCTACAGTGTAGCGTCTGCAATTGTCATTCACATCTGAGAATTTGTCAAAATCTGGCGTACTGTGTTCAACTGAGTCTTGTTCGGCCGCAGCTCACCTTCTACCCGAGACCCGTGGCTAGTGAGCGAACTCTGTCACTGTCAGAGTCGTCGGCATTTCGGGACGTGGGATCTTTTTCCACCTCCGCTGAGTGTGTCGCTGTTGGAACAGGGAGGGAGTGGTTTTTCAGTGCCTGCCCTGTGCTGTCACAGCAGGGTCAGCGAGTCGTGGGAGAGCGAGGATGCAAAAGGGGCACTGGGACAGTTCTGGTCCTGGGCTGCCCGTTGGCCTGGGGTCCCGACCTCGTCTAGGGAAGCCTGGTGTTCGAGTTCCAGAGGACCTGTGGGAGGAAGATTCAGCGCACCTTTGCTGATATCGGATTGATCAGATACTCTTGTGATTAGATGTTCTCGTACCTGCTGGAACGGAGAAAAATTTAAGCCATTTTTTAAAGTGAAAAATAGAAAAACAAGCTGTTACGTGATTTCACTCAGCTTTTTACTCTCCTGTCTGTTGAATCCATTAGAGTAACGTGTAGTGGAGGAAACTATTTCAGGATCACGCCCACGGCAGTAGAGAGTGTGCGTATTAATCACCAACGCACACACGTAGGTATGGGGTAATCTTGAAAGGGCTGCAGGCCAGAGAGGATGCTTACCTGGAGACTTCGGGCCCAGCTCCTAGCAGCTGGCCGGAGAATCCTGCCTCTGCTCTTTCCTACGGAGCTGACTGGAGATAGCTCAGCCTGCTTGGGGAACTCAGAGGAACAGAGAAGAGTGTTCTTTGTCCCCCTCAGAACATTTGCCAGGGACTCAGCTGCTGCAGCACCACAGCAGCCTCAAATTCATTTTACCACTTTTAAAATGACGTAGAATCAGCCCTGGCTGGTGTAGCTCAGTGGAGCGAGCGCAGGCCTGCAATCCAAAGGGTCACGGGCTCGATTCCCAGTCAAGGCACATGCCTGGGTTGCAGGAAAGGTCCCCAGTAGGGGGCGTGTGAGAGGCAACCACACGTTGATGTTTCTCTCCCTCTCTTCATCCCTTCCCCTCTCTCTAAAAATAAAGAAATAAAATCTTTAAAAAGATAAAATGACATGGAATTATATTTTTCTTAGACAGTATTTATTGGAGTTGAGGATGGCCTTCTGAGCTAGACTTTTCATTTGCTTGGACCCAAATAGCAGGGGAACCTTTTATTTCCGTCC